AGTGTCAGGGCTCAGGGCCTGGGCGCCAGCGTGGCGGGTGCTGAATCAGGTACTGGACACCACAGGAGCCCCTCGGCGTCCTGCGTGCAGAAGGTGTGGGCCCGCCTGTCCGGAGCTGGTCTGTCCATGTGGCGAGGCTCGCCCTGACCCGATCCGGAGCAGTGCTGAGAGTCGCGTGTTGATTTGAAGTGTTTGGGTTTGCTCGAAAGGTTAGGAGGCCTTGTCTGGCAGACAGCGTTGGAACACACTTTAGTCACTCACAGGCTAGGATTTCCCTCCTGATTCTGTGTTCCAGAAAGCCAGGTGTTACTATCGGGGGAGGCAGACGGATGGCTGTGGGGGCGGTCGCAGGCTCTTTGCTGCTCCTGCCATTAGCAGCTGTCCTTTCCTTCCCCTCAGTTCCGTTTTTATTTCCCTCCCCACACACTTTTTATTTCTTTATTTCCGGCCTCCTTTCCCCTTTGCTGTCGACCCTAAGCTTCATGCTGAGGTTTGCAAGTCCTGTTGCTCGGCCCTCCTCATTCACTGAGGAGCAAGACAGGCCGACCCCAGTGCTCTTCCATGTTAGGGGCGGCGCACCTTGGTGGGAGCTCGGAAGGCTCCGGACCCTGCAGCTCCTGGGCACTGACTGCTTCCCCGCGGCCCAGAGGCAGGGCAGGTTTCTGAAGTAGCCTTACTCATCTAGACAGCTGCCAGGCACTCCGGAAGGCTGAGTCAGCTGTGCTACGAGGCCACGATGTATTTGCTAGTGTTAAAGTTCTTTAGAATTGGAGTTATTATTTGAAATAATATTTTGGTTGACTTAAGTTTTGAGAGATGATGCGAAAACTGATCTAGAGACTCATTCAGTAGCAATGACTTAAAACTTACATTAAGTGAAGCTGCCAGTAGGTTAAACCGTGTATGTACGTAAGAGTAAGAGCTTCCTCTCTCTACTTCTGTGGAACTTCAGTCATTTTTAGAGGCTACAAAATGGTCAAATGTTTTTAAGTGTGCTCTTTTATTAAATGCCTGTGCAGGTTTTGTAATTCAGTACAGAAAAGTTTAACCTTGTAATGTACATTTTTGTATGTAAAAAGTCTTTTAAGTAGCCTTATCCTTATTTAAATAAACTGAATAAAATTACCTTGAGTAGGTCTGTTATTCATAAAAACTGAGACAGCAAAGTGTGCTGCAGTACTGTGCTGTATCCGAGTGAACTGTGTGGCAGTGCCGCTCCCTGTACTGCCGCCTCCTGGGTGGTGGGCGTCGGGCGTGGGGGGCTGGCCAGCCTCGCCACGGGTGGCTGCATGCTGGCTCCTGGGTGCCACGGTGACGCGGAAGCCGGCCCGTGGACAGTCACTGCACCTCATGGGGTGGAAGCTGAAGACGCTGATGCCTCCTTGTGATAGGCTTCTGTTTAGTTTTTGCTACAGGGCGTGTACACTCACGGGACAGAGGGAGCGAGCTCACTCCCAGAGGGGATGGTCACCTCAGTCTTTTCCCCTCCAGTCTCCTGTTTGGGTTTGGGGCACACGCGCACAGTGATTTTCAAGCCACTGGGTCTTGGACTTGACGTGCACACTTGGCCATGTGGGATCCAGAACCTTAACCTCCATGCCAGCTGCTGGGTTTTCTTAACGAAAAACACCAAGCAGAGATTCAGTTGAGACATGTTTTTGTTTAGAGTGATCTGAAAGAACCAGTTAATTTCTGAACTGCCTTCATAACATCATTTCATTTGGAGACTGAAGCTTTAAATTAACAGGCTTGGAGAAGACTCAAGTACCGTTCTACCTTGAACTTAAAGTGTAGATTCTTATATTTTATTTCTTTTTGGTGAGAGTGCAGACAGAAAAAAGAATTGCTTCCATTTAGGTTGTTTTTACCGAAATGCACTTTACTGCCAAGTGCTTTGTTTGCTCGCTCAGTGGGCTCGGTCCTCTTCCCTGAGTTGCCAAGGTGTGTGTGAGTTCCTGCTGTGGTATTAATAGTTCTCGAAGGTGAGCAGGCAGATGAAGTCCCGCTCCTGTAATGAAGGCAAATTCGGGAATAACGGAAGGACAGGTCATGCAGTAACAGAGAACAGTCATGGAAGGGGGGGTAGCTGAGGTCCTTTAAACACAGGGGTTAGGAAAGACCTCTGTGAAGAGATTTGTTTAAAGACAGACCGAGACTGGACAGCTTTTAGGGGCAACATCCCACATGGGGGTTTCACGGACTGCATACTGCTGTTGCTCCCAGGTGGGGTCTGTTTCCTGTCTCCTAGTAAGGGCTGGCCTTGTGACCCGCTTTGCTATAGCGGTCGCTTCTGCCCCTACTCCTGTGCTCAGCTCGCCCCGGCAGCACACGGCCCCACTGCCAGCCAGCGCTGACTGCCAGGCATGACTGCTGGTCCCCAGTCATGCTGCCAGGTGCTGGCTGCACGAGAGTCCCAGGCGAGATTAGGTCACGTTGCTGCCTCTCAGAATCGTGCGTTAACTCACATAAGCTACCAAGTATTGGGGATAGTTTGTGGCCCAGCAGTAGGGAACAGGTACCAAACAAGGGCAGGCTGAGAGCCCTGAGACTTAATAGGTTTTTAGAAAGACAGGTGACTGGAGTCGGTGAGGACTGGGGCAGGGCAGTTAAATTGAAGACGGGGTAGGCAGGAGCCAGGTCACATAGGACCTTAGGTCTGCTGTCCATGGTAGGGACTTTGGGTTTGATTCCAAGAGCAACCG